ATATTAGAAGTTCTATCAATGTTTTCTCTACAGCTAACCAATGTTCTATTGCTTTATAGGTCAGATGAGTATTACTAAACAAAAAATTATCAACCGATTAGAGTCGATATAAATTATTGCCCAGAAACATGTCAAAACAGGTGGTTCGGGAACCTCGTCTGAAAGTCACCAACGATAGAGAGGGTAAGATTCAGCGGCGGAAGTAGAAGTGGCCGTTCCAGACAGACAATGACATTCTTTCGTATTGCTTCCACTTTTGCAGATTTGCATCACATTATGATAATTTATAATCTTAATCGTTCAGTCGAAAACAATAATAAAATAAAAAAATAAAAAAATAAAAATACAATGTTTACTTTAAGAGGAATAAAGAGTATATATTTCATAATTAAATTCTGTTTATACGACGATAAATCATTTTCGTTCGACACTATTTGTTAAAGCCAACAGTTTTTGTGCTCATTTAAACGGCGCTTATCTTGGACCACCTTGTATCGTACTACGTAACTCTTTCGATAAAGAAAAAGATTAGGCCGCCAAAAACAAAGGAACCGAAGTATGTTATTAGTAATAACTTCAAGGTAATTTGATACGAGCGTAACTTGCTTTTTAAATAATAACTTGAATTAGTATTCGGTAAGGTAATTATCAGTAAGGTATCGTTCGTAATTATACGTTAGCGTTAATCGGCTTAAACACGATTTTATCTGCAGCTGATTTGAGTACAGAAAAAATTAAATTTGAATATTGGACTGGATATGCCCGCCATTGATTGTAAATTTAACGTGTTGTCTGTTCATTGCGTGCCGTTTCTACTTATTCTAACAGCGATCACAAGTGTATCAATTAATCTCTTGCGCTAGAAATTCATTCAAAGATTTGGCCAAGTCTTACGCAAAACATTTTCAGCGATACGTTTCAAAACAATCTAATATGTATAATGCAACAAGACTATCGATGTGTGTACGACGTTATTGGCAATTTTGGAACAAAAACATCTCGACGCGCATGCTACGTCTCTCCAGTGCAAAAGATTAAGTATAACTCCGATTTTATCGAAGGGAAACCTTGGTAACAAAAACGTTATTGTACATTTTTAACTTATTTTTCCATGTAAAATGATTTTTCTCTAAATTTTATCATCGTTCGCAAGGCACCATATGTGTTACTTTATTCTCAATATTACATAGTTAAATTTATTTATTAGTTTTATTATTTTATTAGTTTCATTTTTATAGATACCTTTTTAAACATTTTAATAACTGACTGATATAAATTAATCAATTATCAAGGAAATTTAACATTAATGTTATGGCGGCACCTTTCCTATTCTGCTAATAGCGAGTTACTGAGAGCTAAGAGACTTTTTCTCTCCTGCCGGTACTTTACCTATTTGTATATATACCGTCCGTAAACCTCCTACACTCGTCCTCACGTCTAAAGCACCGGTCTACCAGAAAGCCCTACTGATGAGTCCACTGGTAGATCCCGGACGAAACTCTCTCCCTCTGTCCTAATCTTTTCGATCCTTTTCCTCCTTTCCATAACATTACAGTCCGCTTCGATGTTTATTTTTCAATCTTTATTTCTGTAGATACTTTCACATACTTTCACTGTTACTTTCTTACGTTTTCAGTAAAATGACGAAATGAAACTCATTAATAAGTTAACTGCGTTCGACGAGTATACACGTCATCTTACAGCTTGAAATGATACTAATTCTTTCAACGATGAGTTCTTTATTTTTCAGATTAACATACAATTCTAGTTTGTTTCGCTTTGATTTTTGATTAAAGTATACTCTAGGTGCATTCTTCCTGCGTTTGACGAGTACACACTTCGTTTTTGCATGTTATTGCGCGCAAAACGAGAGATTTTTGAAACTAAATGCCACAGTTAACAGGTTAATCAATCCAATTTTAGAATATCAACGTATAAAGCATACTAAAGTAAATAATTCTATAGGAGTTTTTAGTCAACAATTTTTCTGAAGATTTTGCAGAAAAATTTATTGCCTATTAGCAAAAAGAAAAAAAGGACTTGCTTCAATTTCGTGTTTTTAAGAAGTAATAAATTACGTTTTAATTACTGAATTATTATTTCCATTTTTCAACTTTGAAGAAGGGTGAATGTTACAAAAGTCATCTGTCTAGTTGGTACCGCGAGCAGTAATTTGTTTGTCCGTTGCCCTTTAAAGTTTATGAAACGTAACATAGATCCTTTTTCCAGACATCCATTTAAATATTTGTGATATTTTCAACGAGGCATCTTTAAATTGGCGATCATAGCACGACTTATCGAATACCCTGTGCAACAGACGGTTCATTCACAGTAGCCGAGTCCCTGAGGATAGTTAATGCGCATAGACAATAAACATAATGTGAACTGCTATCTGTATTCGTGTAATCCGCGGAATATATACACTTCAAGGTTGAAGCAATATCGTGACCTTTTGCAATCTCTGCGCTCCAGGCAACATGTAACTTGCACCGTTCTCTCTTGCATTAATTTTGAAACCGGTCGCGGGTTGACCGTAATACGATTAAAAAGGAAATAAAACAAGACAAAGAGGAGAGGAGAACGAGCGATGATCGTTCTTCGGTGAAAAAAAAACATCAAACCAAATACGACGTCACACGAATTACCAGCGAACTGCTAACCCAGTTACCAGTATGCTGTTTCGTGATAGCCAAGTTTAATCTCGCACCGAAGCGTTTATTATACGTAACACCAACAATTTAATATTTCATCGACTCCAATTTCTTAAATTAATAAAATCCAATGAATCTGAATGACTTATTTGGAATCATCAGTGGTTAATTGTCGTTTTTTAATATTATAACTTGATTTCCTAACTGAAGATCACGCGGGTCAGTCATTTAAGTTAGGTCTGGGTTAGTATTTATTTAATATAATAACACAGTATTAATATTTTATTATTATTGTCATCATTATTGTTACTGCTGTTGGAGTGCAAAGGATTAAGATAGGAAAACAATGAAAAAAAATCTTCGTGTTTTAATTCATTTTACGTTGGAACTATTTCCTGAAGGCATATCTTCATTTCTGCTACGTTCAAACGAAAATATACCTATACTAATACTCTGAGCTTCGATTATATATTCCGATATAGGCAATCCTCGAATAACACAATACTTGATCTACATGAAGTCTTGAATTACAGTCAAACATTGTGACAACCCTTGTATATAACATGGTACTTAAATTGCACGTTTTCCTCGAAGTTTGTAATGTCACAAGCATTCTTTACAACGAAGTGGAGAAAAGATATTTGTGGTATGATGCTAGACTCACAAGCAATAGAATTAATCTCGATAACCGTACGAAACCAGTTAAACGAAATGACTCTGCTATTCGAGAGTTGACTGTACTCAATTACTCATCAGCACATAAAAAGATTTGCATTCATGTATGTTTACTACTGTAACTACAGAATTGTAAGTTTGAATTAAAAAATCGACGTTGATTCATTACTTGGATGTTGATTATTCATGAACATAACAACGAATGTATCAATAAGTTCTAACCTTTAATTAGACGAGTTATTTCATGGATGCATCGATGCATTTGTATAAGCGTAATATTATACTCCAAAAAGTATACCTATTTTAATATTTTCACTTAAAATGGCTCCATTCATTTGGAATAACTTTAGAACTAAACTGTGCTACAAGAATCACATCGTTTATTAATAAAAACAACCAGCTTATACAAAGTTAATAAGATAGTATCAAAATATCTTATTTCAGTATTGTAATTATTATGCAATGTAGTCATATTTTTTGAGAATGTAACACGTTCCGTGCTACGCCATTCACGTATGAATGACACCGATGTTTTCCTTCGGAGCGACGCCATTCACACGTATGTGACAGGTACATTCATCTAAAAGTATATGAAAATCATATTTCAACAATACTAATTGTGTACAAAATGAAAAATGGGATGTCTCTGTGGAAAATGTAAGTAGTTTTAATTTTATTCCGTTGAGAATTTGAATTTAGAACTTCATAGAAAGTTATTTTATCTGTGTCTATTTAAGTTAGAAAAAAATTGTTGCCTCCCTCTAACACGTTGACTGCCATGGGGGTCACTGGTGACCCCCGACCAAATCGAATTACTATAGTTTACTCAATGAAACGACGATTATATGAAAACATTTCTATATTATAAATAATGCTACATAGTACAGTGACATTCAGATAGATGAATGTGGAATAGTAATAATGCAATTGGATCAAATGATTTAATATTATATTTTTTTCGGCGTATTTTCCTCTGTGAAATCGTGCGGCGTTCAACGTATTAATAATACACTTTGAGTATCTATCAATTAATTTTTTTATATTCTCGGATATCACGTAACTTGAAATCTGGACCCGTAAGTGTTTTATTTTGCTGCCATTAAAAAATAAGAAAAAACTATTCTGACAGTATCGCGTCAATCAAATATACACAATAGTAAAATTTTGTAAATATTCTGCAGAAATATTTTTATACTAACAGGATTTTTAAAAAGAATGTACATTTTGACTTGGCGCAGAACATTTATGTAACTCCTTGCAGACGAGAATCTTTAAAACATTTAAAACTCTTCCCAAAGAAAACTGAATCATGTCCACATTAAAGTCTTAAATATTGGAAAAGCAGGAAACTACATATCAATCACTCATTATTTGGATAACTGAATTATTCACACGCTGCTTCCAATTTCAAACGTCAAAACTCGAGAACAGCATTATGGCGCATTCGACGGTAATGAGTTAATTCTCTTCATAATATACTACAGCGCGGGAAAACCGCATTGCAAAAAGTGAAACGAAATGAAAGCAACCCCTGACCTCTGTTTAATGTCTAAAACTATTTCACCCTAATAGTCTGAAGATTACGGTTCACCGATCAGACCTAAGACCCTGATTCACACGTGTGTCCATTCACCCTAACAGACCTTTATCTCGTAATAGAGCAACGAGTCTGACCTTGGAACAGGCAAATCCATGGTGCTAGGTCGATGATGATGCGGATGCTGATGATGGTGATGATGCTGATGCTGTTGATGCTGCTGCTGCGGCGACCTTTCATCTGTTCCCATCATCCCGGGGTGCATCTGCTGCTGCGGATGCTGAGAGTGCAGATACACTTGTTCCGGTTGTTTCATCCACATTGTTGCAGTCGATTTAAATGACTACTTTAATCACCAGATCACTGACTCGTTTCAATGACTCGCGAGCCAATTCGCGCACGCGCAAACAAACTTCTGCGTACGGTCGAAAACGTGATTCTTGTTCGATAGATCACCGGCACCCTTCATGATGCTTGTTTTGATATATCGAAATCTGTTCGTCACGTCTGGCACACAATATACCTTAAAAATTCCTTTGACCACTATAATGATAATATTATAGAGTACGAAAATTAATACCGACGTAAAGGTTCAATTAAATCGGAGACGAAACGCTCGAGGAACGAGGCTCCTCCTCGGCGTCGTTCGCCATATTGGAGAACGCTGGAAACGCAGCGGCGGCGATCCCGTAGTACTGTTCTTCTCTCTTTCTCTCTCCGTTATCGCGCGACAGCTTCGCGGCTTGTTTGTTGCGCGAATTAAAATTAGCCAGGTCGCCTGGTTAATCTTGCTCGTTCGATCGCTCGTTTCTCCGCAGCCGTATGATAAAAACCTCTCTATCTCTGCGCTGCCGAACGACACGAACAAACATTCGGCAAAAACCGGGGCCGGGACGAGGCACCCGTCAGCTACCAAGGAGGGAGACGGGTGACACGAAGAAAACAAGCGGATACGCTTCTCTCTGCGGTGACGTTCTCTCGATTCTCGAGGCGTTTGCGATATTATTGCCCCGTCAATTCAGAGTCCCGCGTTAAAAATCATCGACCATTGCGCTCGTCACGTTTTACTTCGGAATGTTTCCCGAGGAAAGATGATGGATCAAGAAGAATCACATTTTTAGCGGTACACAAGTTATTCGATGAATTACGGTGTAACGATTGGTAATGGTTCCATAGCGATTCTCCCGCGTCCAGATTGCAATCGCGCAATGAACGAGGGGTCACTTGTAACCAGCGTCCTCTAGTACACGTACGAATTCTTCGCTGGAATCCCGACCTTGACACCGTGCTCTAGATTTGTATGCGGCAGGAAGCACATTAAAGGCGGCCTGTATCGGGCATAGGTATCAATCGAAGAGGATCGAGGAGGATCGACAAAAGAAGAGTGGTCGGTCCAGGGGGATGCTAACGCGACGTTGTCCTCTTCAAGGTTGCTGTTCCGTTAGATTGCGCGAGAGACGCAATAAAACGGAGTCATAATGGTGCGAGGGATCTGCGGCCTTGACACACTGTCCTAAATGTCTCTTAGAATGTAGAAAATACTCAGCGCCGCGGTTATGTGCATATTCCGTGGACACGGGTCGGTCGGACGGCAAATAGAAAACCGTCCGGTCACATCGGGACTGGCTTGTTCCTCTATTTATATGACGGGCAACACCGAGGTCCAGTTTTGCGCGAGTTAAAAGCAGCACTCCGGTAACGGAGAGGAACGCACTCTTCGAGGTCCACTTTACGGTAACGTGGTCCAGATCAGTTACCGATGTCTCGTTCGATCATCGACGATACCGAATTTCACTTTTTAGTGGAAGAAAAATTAGGAGGAATACGTTGACGTTAAGAAGAGAAACGCTCGGCGATCAGCTCGGCGATCAGCTCGGCGATCAGCTCGGCGATCAGCTCGGCGAACAGCAGAGACGCGACACGCACGACAGCCGAATACGAACTGCCGGTGGTGCTGTGCCCCCACTCTCAGCCACAATCAGCGCTTCCCCTACCGTCGAAGCGACCAATCGTCGCTCCCCCTCGTCTTCCAATGCTATCCGCGCTCGGACCGCGCAATATGATAACAACACATTTTTAGGCGGTTCCCTTGTGTAAGGCGGCTTCGAACCGTCGCGATAAGAATTTTCGTGCACGCGGCCGATTCGACCGCGGGAAGACGAACTCGCTATCGGTGGACGGTACTCGCGGGGTTGCGCTTTAACCAGTTAACTGCGTTCGACGAGTATACACGTCATTTTATATTAACTAAATCTTTTAACGATGAATTCTTTAGTTTTTCAGATAAACATTTAATTCTTCTTTGCTCTGCTTTGGTTTTTCATTAAAATATACCCTAGCTGCATTCGTCCTGCGTTTGACGAGTACACATTTTATTTTTTCATTTTGTAGCGCGCGAAACGAGAGATTTTTCAAACTAAATTCCACAGTTAACAGATTAACCCTGTGTCTTCCAATAACGTGTCAGACTCGTGATGAAGATTTTAGACAAAAATTGAACAAGCATGAATATTACTTGATTCTTTTAAATTCAAATGAAACATTCATTATTCTTCTGTTATCAATTATTATACTTTGGGGTAAAGATTGATATAAAATCATTCTTATCATTCTATTCTTTTTCTTAATAAATTAATAATGACAAAGTAGTTGTATCGATCATAGTTAAGAAATAAATCATAGGGCAAATGGTTAACACTGACCGCCGTATCATCCGAATTCAGGCGATATAATGACTTTGTAGGCGATATAATGGCTGTGCACACGATATAATGACGAAAAAAATCCAGTATTGAGTCTACAAAGTCGTTAATATAATTTCAGACGGACGAACCCTTTATAGGCGGGAATTTTAAAAACGTTTGAAAACATTTTTCGTAAAAAAGCTGAGTTATGCATAGAAGTATTAAATATTAGAAAAAAGTAAACTACATATCAATCTCTCGTTATTTGAATAAATTGTCGATTTGTAGCTTTTGAATTTAGATATCAAAGATCAAAGTCTCCATTATGGCAGCACTTGACCGCAGTGGGTTAAAACGACTGGAATAAATTACAATTCAAAGGCGTTGAATTCAATGAAGGGTTGAAAAATTACTTTTCTCAGTAACATATTGAATGAATCGAATTTTATTAGATCTACGAGACGGAAGAAGGTTAAGAGAACAATTGCTGTGCAAGATCTGGACTCTTCAGTTTCTGTATCATTAAGAAAATTGCTTTGATTGTGTGAGTAACTTGATGCGTGTCAGTTGCGATGTGAACGTACTAATAGGGATGGAAGTTGTATTCGATTTCAATAAAATTTGGTGTTAGATTATCGATTATAGTTATTGGAACTAATTCTAGTCGTAGATCTAGTTATGAAAAGACTGTATGGAGAGTTCGGGGAACTGAAACCTGGTACCGATAAAGGATACTAGCGAGATTGCGTTTCTAACGAGGATGCATTAGAAGTTATCTTTGATTTCAATGAAGTTTGGTACTAGATGAGTAACCATTAATGTAACTTCAATTCTAGTTGCAGATATGTAGTTAGTTTTCAGAAAAGAATAGGTAAAATTTGGGAAAATGTATAGGTTGATATTTTTGGGCATTAGATAACTTTGAAATTTTTTTAGGAGAACTAACTGTTGGCGCTCGATGTTGCGGCTATGGAAAAGTAAATTATTTTACAGAATTTTGAAAAATTATTTATTTACGTATTATTAGAAGTTTACTAAACTTTCACAGTGAGTTTATTAAAATAAAAACATATACTTTATTCCAGTATTATCCTATCATTGCATGAAATTTATAAACATGTTTGGAACATCAATTTATGATGCATCACGACCATTTCACAGAAAAAGACTGTTATAAACAGTATCGTGTTATAAAGAATTGTTTGGCTGTATGTATCTATTTACTTAGTATTTATTTTCGACAAATTTAACGAAGGAAATGCAATTTTGACTACAAATTTTGTTAAATGCATTATTTACATAATTATATGTTCGTTCAAAAAATTATCATAACAATTTGAACTAATTCTTTTAATTCCTCAAATTTTATTAAAATTTCTGTTTGTCAAAGGAAAATATCTAGTATTCCTAAAACGTATTCGCCCCTTCCAACTATTCAAATATCATTAGTCTGAAATGATTGTGCGAGTAAACAGTTATTACTCTTCTTTCGAAAAACAGACTATAGTACTAATATACAGCCTAAATTAGCTTAAATATTTTGTGTCGCTAAAGGTAACTGTCTAAAATAATCAACTGCTATGGAAACATAAAACTGATCAATATAGATGAGTAAACACAGTGAAATATAATATTCTTTCTTGTTTCAGTTCAAATCGAAATATGAATTCCACAATTATAACACGAGAAAGATAAATTGTATAAATCTACATACATGTTCGGAACTTCTGCTATGTATAGGTCGTGCAATGTTAGAATGCTAATATTTCAACATTACAAAGAAGTATTAGAATAACAACGATCAAATTCTGTTACTGCGTTCAGAATTGCATTATTTGAATTACAAAATGCAATACTTGCATTGCGTTAATGTGTTTTCACTTTAATGCGAGCACAATAGATTTTGCAAATTGCGCTTATCTCATAGACTATGAAAACTGACGCGGAAAAGACAATGAACTATCGTTGTGACTTTCGCATACACTCTATAAATTATCATTCTGTTTTTCTACGTAAATGCTGCATACTTGTGTATTTTTACTAGAGTATTTATAATTTCTTTTGAATTTTCAAACGTTTTGGCACTTTCAGTTTTACGTTAACTTTCTAATTTTATATCTTTTCCGGAAAAAAATAGATAAACTCAAATGTACTCTTACCCTTATATCGCTTTTTAAATCAACGTTAAAAAACTACGAATTCGCGAATAGAAGTGTATAATTGTTAAAGTACACTGGGTAGGACAATGAGTAATTGTATTGTAATTATTCTCCCGAATAACAGCGAGAAAACAAAGAGGTGTGCACTTACCCGCACGAGACGGTCGTTTCGGGAACAGAGGTCGAAGATGACGCGCTAGCGTCATCCTCGTCCACGTCATCCTTCATTTTTTAGATTGTTCCTGAAACGTAAAAAGTAATTAATATTCACTACATTTACGTTACTAATTTGTTTTTTCATTAGCTGCACGCTATCAATTAACGTTAAACGTACGACCACCAGTCGAACCACCGGTTTTAAAATTCTGATAAAAATTCTGCATTTTTTTTCGTCCATTTAACTTTAGATCAGTTCTTATATCGTCCGATTAATCAGTTCCTCAATTGTTGTTCCTTTTTTCTGTTTTCATTAAGAAAAATTGATCGTTTAACATTAAAACTATCAGACGCATCAAAATGACCCATTCCTGATTTCTTTATTTTGCAATTATTAAAAATACAACACATGTTTCTCTGAGAAATTATTAAAGAAATTGATTCAGCAATACATGAACGGAATTATGAATCAATTGAAGTCTGGATAGATGCACTCTTGAAGTTTCTATAGAGGAATTGCAGAAAGTCAATTTAACTGCTTGGTAGCTTTAGTGTTAATCTAGATTTGTTTTAGTTATTTTATTTAGTTCTTTTATAACCGGTTATTTCACCGGTTGCGGTAGGGATAGGTGCATATAAAGTAAGTTTAGTGTTAAACATTTTGAGCGAGTCGAATGCGCGTTATCGAAAGCAACTTTTCACGAATACACCGGCGAAAAGTCATTCGCGATTCACGTCGCGCAAACATTTTGTTCGCACTCGTGTGTGAGGTGAAAATACGATAATGTTTTCGATGCAAGAAACGCGGGAGGGCAAGGCACCCGTCACGGAAGACCGCCGATGACACTAGATTGATTGATAATGTAAATAAATGATGCGCATCCGCATCGATAATGCAATACACGAAAACAACACGTGTCCCGTACATCGTTATCCATCGTTCGCTTGACATTGTAATCGACAGAAACGACTTAGTATACAGCTCACTACTGGTAGCTCTTACTTTGCACTAAAGCGTGAGCACGGATTTAATACTAGAATTACCGAGCATTTTATACGAACAACGTGTAATCCTTGTGAAGATTGCAACAATCAATTTCTTTCGACTTCTTTAGGTATTTATTTGTAAAATAATTTCAAATATTTGATACTTCTGAAACATTAATAACTACAAAACATAAAAACTAATACCTATTATTTTTACGTTTACGGTAGTTTTATTGATAAAAGAGTAAATGAATAAAAAATTTAATATTTTAGTCTTGTATTACAATTATCCAATTAAAATATTTTCTAAAAACAGATTGCACATCTTCTCTTGACCACCTCAATCATCTTTGTTACTTCTAAAGCTACAAGTTCTAAATAAAATTCCTACGATTTCAGGGGGCAAATTTCGAGTCTATCTTGTTTTCCTTTCTTGGTATTACACAAAATGAGAGAAATACTTGTCATAAATAAGGATATGAAAACATACAGTCATCTTGTATAACGTATGACTAAAATAAAAAGAAATAATTAATGA